GTGAGTGTGTGTGTGTGTGTGTGTGTGTGTGTGTGTGTGTGTGTGAGTGAGTGTGTGTGTGTGTGTGTGTGTGTGTGTGTGTGTGTGTGTGTGCAGAGCATTGCCAAGTCTCACTTTGAAAGCATTTGTTTTAAATGTCTTTATTTGAATAGAATTCATTAAATCAAATGTGAGCCTGGAGCACAAAAGCAGTGTTAAGTCGCTGGGGTATATTTGTAGCAATAGCCAACAATACATTGTATGGGTCAAAATTATAGATTTTTCTTTTATGCCAAAAATCATTAGGATATTAAGTAAAGATCATGTTCCATGAAGATATTCTGTAAATGTCCTACTGTAAATATATCAAAACGTAATTTTTGATTAGTAATATGCATTGCTAAGAACTTCATTTGAACAACTTTAAAGATGATTTTCTCAATATTTAGATTTTTTTGCACCCTCAGATTCCAGATTTTCAAATAGTTGTATCTCAGCCAAATATTGTCCTATCCTAACAAACCATGCATCAATGGAGAGCTTATTTATTCATTTATTTATTTATTGTAGCTTTTAGATGATGCATAAATCTCAATTTCAGAAAATTGACCCTTATGACTGGTTTTGTGCTCCAGGGTCACATATAATAATAATTATTTGTTTGAACAACAGTGTTTAAATGTTGCATTCACGTTCAATATGCATACCAGCCATGCAATTAGTTATTTTTATCGTCACTATAGTTAAAAAGTTTAGGCTCAGTATTTATTTATTTTTTTTAAATGAATACTTTTATTAAGCAAGGATGCATTGAATTGATCAAAAGTGACAGTAAAGACATTTATAATGCTACAAAAAACTTCTATTTCAAATAAATTATGTTCTTTTGATCTTTCTATTCATCAAAGAATCCTGAAAGAAATCCATCACATTTTAACATTGATAATAATAAGAAATGTTTCTTGAGCAGCATATTAGAATGATTTCTGAAGATCATGTGACACTGAAGACTGGAGTAATGATGCTGGAAATACAACTGCGCATCACAGGAATACATTACAGTTTAAAATATATTCAAAACAGTTATTTTCCATTTTAATTTCATAATAATGCTGTTTTTACTGCATTTGTTTAAATAAATACAGCCTTGGTAAGACTTCTTTTAAAAACAAAAAAAATTATATTATACTAATTCTACCATTCTAATACTACCATTAAATTTAACCAAAAAAATAAAATAAATAAATATATATGTGTGTGTGTGTGTGCGTGTATGTATGTATGTGTATATATATAAATATATATTTAATTTATAACATGTTATATAACATATAAAATACATATAACATGATTATTATATGTAAAAAAAAAAAAGTAAAAAAAAAAATTTGCCGGTCACAGGCTGCCAGCTTGATCTAAATCCCATCATCATTCTGTCATTATTCCAAATCAATGTAAATCATGTATTGTGCTGCAGTTCCTAAAAGTTATCAGCCAATAGACGAGCTCCTCCATCGACAGTTAGTTTTGCAGCCTACTTACGTTCAGTGTGCGTGTGTTCCCGCAGAGGAGTGTGAGGTGCATCCAGGCCAGCGGGAGCAGGCAGAGGCCGTGATGCTGGCGTGCCGCTATCTGCCTCCTTCCTTCCTGTCAGCTCCGGGCCAGAGGGTGGGCATGCTGGTGGACGCCGCCCGGACGCTGGAGAAACTAGGAGACAAACGCACCCTCCACGACTGCCAACAGATGATCATCAGACTAGGCAGCGGAACGACCGTCACCTCCACCTAGCCACCTACACACACACACTTAAGAGCACTTTTACAAACACACCCCAAGATCTCTCAGAATCAACACGCTCTTCATTTCAGGCCTCGGTGTCGTCCAAGAACGCCAAGACTCTCCCCAACAGTTCAGAACTGCATATTCAAAACCAGTGACGAGATGCAGAGGCAATAACGAGACCCTCATCCAAACGCAGTGTTTTCTCGACCTTTTTGATATGAAATTGAATATTTAACTTATTTATCTGCCCTAAAAGAAATTGAAGATATTGCTGGTCTTCTGTGAAGCGATGCACTGTCAGTGCTGACTCGGGCCAGTAGATGGTGATTTGGTGAACTGGACGCTGCTCCGTGGTTGAATTGGAAACGTATTGTAGAGCTTCGCTTTACTTATTAGCACCTTTGAGAGATGTCGACCTCCAGCTGAATAAAGTACTTCCTACTTACAGCACGTTATCATCCGGGATGAATTCTGCATATCGATTTGAGAAAATTAAGGCTTTATAAAACTTTTTTCTTTGTATGTTTGTTTTAGATAAGTGTATTTATGATTTGTCTGATGGCACATCTTGTCATGCTGCTGCAATTGAACCATTTGAAGAAGTCAGCAGAACAAAAAAAAACTGGATTTGTGTCCATGTGCGCTATTTAGTGAGTGGGCCGCTCGGTCGCCACTGAATCCACCGTTTCTTTTGTATTTCCAAACCAGTCTTCCATTGGAGTCAGTGAATCCAAATAATTTCATCTTTATCATCTCAAGACATATTTATCCAAAGATCAGATTTGAGAGCGATATGAGGATCTGCCTGCAGCTCGTTAGGGAGAGAAGCATATTTATATTTCATCTCTAGTCACCGTTATGCACGAACTCTGATTACTAGACATGTATTCTGTTCGCGGTAACAGAGATTTGCAATTGACATTCATTACTTGTTCGCTAACTTCTCTGTAGTGCTTGTGATCGAGTCTCAAAGACGGAATGTGTTTAAACTCACAGGCGCACACTTAGCATATCTTCTGTTTGATTTATTCTTAAGAATGTAAATAAAAGTCTTTTGTAATGAAATTGGTCTGCGTTTATAATCTTGGGATTTTTCCCAACTTGTGTGCTTTTCCAGGACAGAAGGGCATACAGCATTAGAACAACACGACGCCGACAAAGATGCACAGAAAGAAAACAAAACCTGATTTTGATCTCAATTCCAAAAGACAGCTGTTCATGTTCACACATCTATTATATTTCATGGCAGTGTTACATAAAAATAAAAAAAGACCCAGAAACATCGCAGGATGAGCTGTAAACGAATACGATTCCCAAAAAAAAATAGTCCTTTTGATTCATTGTTTTAATAACTTTTGTAAGCAATAACATATTTGTTTTATAGAAAATAAACATCTCTAAGAAATACTATACACAATTATAATAGTACATCACATCTTACATTTAAACCGCATCAAATACTTATATACACAATTATTTAGAATCAGGAATCAAATAATCACGTGATGGTTCTCTCATCTCTTACCTGTTATACTGCAGTGAAGGCTATATTATGTTAGTCACATATACATCTGATTAAATGACATTTCACGTCGTCTTCTGCATCGTTTCACAAATAAGATGAAATGTAAAATCGGTTTGTGGTATAGATCGCTTCACTTTGCTGAGGCTTCCGTAAGCTCAAAGTTCAACTAAAAAATACAATTCTGACATTATTTACTCTTTCTGATGTCGTTTCAAACCCATGCGACTGACTTTGTGCATTTGAGTTATTTAGAAGAATGTCCAAGCTGCCCTTTTCCATGCATTGAACGTCAATGGAGCGGTCAAGCGCCAAAATGACAAGAATGCATCAGAAATACTTAAAAATCATGCGATATACAGACTGAAATTGAAATAACGGTCTGAAATTGGACCTTTTTGTTTGTCTCACAGAAGAACGAAACTCATGCAGGTTTGGAACGACATGAGGGTGAGTAAATGACGACCGAATTTTCTGTTTTTTTAAGTGAACTATCCCTAAATGCTGAGCGGCTGATACACACAATATGAACGCAGGATATTTTAGTCATCCACATGCACAGTTGGACATCCCTTCAAATGCACATGAAAATAAGCCTACATCTTGGAGTAGCAATGTATTAAAATAATGCATTTATATGTTCTTTTTCATGATAGCAGAATATTTTAGACCTGTAAAGCACACCATGTACAATTTCATTTTTTTCTTCTTTGAAACGTGTAAGTGTCCATTGAAATACATCCAGTGAGTGCACGTTGCATGACATCTTCAAATTTCAATTAAATTGCAAATGCGTCTGTGCCAGCCAGTGCTCGGGGCAGCCACCAGGTGTCCTCGACTGATAACATCCGCTCCAGAACACGGACGAATGGCACATTCGGATTCATGACAAAAGTGTCTTTCCCTTTTTCAGCGTTTGGTCATGAAGGTTCTTGTGTTTGGGATGGATTCAGAGATGGTCTGGTCTTGGGTCGGTATTGCTACAGTATCTTTGTGCTTCGACTGAAGCCCCAGGTTTTCTCGGTGTTTCGGGTGTCCACAGCGACTCGTGTCGCATGTCCTTGTTCTACTGCATAAGTGACATTCACCAGCCCTGATGCGCTGAGATATTACACTGCCTGAAAAACAGAGACATTTGAAATGTGTAAGAGTGGAGAAATATTCTGGAGCTTTCTGAAATATTGCTGGGTCATATACATCTTCAAGCCAAACCCCCTCATATGTCTTAAAGGGATAGTTCACCCAAAAATGAAAATGTGATGTTTATCTGCTTACCCCCAGGGCATCCAAAAATGTAGGTGACTGTTTCTTCAGTAGAACACAAACGAAGATTTTTAACTCAAACCGTTGCAGTCTGTCAGTCATATAATGGCAGTCAATGGGCTCCACGGCTTCGAGAGTAAAAAAAACATACACAAACAAAACCAAATTAAACCCTGCGGCTCGTGAAGATACATTGAGGTCTTAAGACACGAAACGATCGGTCTGTGCAAGAAACTGAACAGTATTTATATCGTTTTTTACCTCTGATCCAC